AAAGATTTGGCAACAGCTTCAGGTTTGCCTTTGTTGTTTTGCTGAATCTCAGCAGGTTAAATGTCAGTTCAGTCCCTGCTTGCTCTCCGTCATCAACTGCAGTGTGTTGTACTGCAGCCAAATTTGGTTGTTTCTGTTTGTCAGACAACAAAATAATTATAATGTTCATAAATGCTACCAGAAGACATCAGAAAAACTAACATCGTGACAACACCCACTTTGTGTGACCGTCTGTACTTTCATTTTCAACAACTGATCCACCGGAGACACCAAAACATGACTTTGTTGTTTTTTTCCAATGACTTTTGTCCGACCGAGCTTAATTCATTCTAAGCCAAAATGTCACTTTTTCCTGTTTTTGAAGGAAAAAAAATAAATTTTCATGTGTGAAAAGTGCTGGCTGAGGGGCGTTGAAATGCCAAAACAGGGAGAAAAAGACATATTTCCAGATACAGCCGACTGCCTGGCTGTAAAAGTCCAATAAGGTTGGTGTGATCATGACAATAGTGTAGATTTTCTTTTTTTTTTTGAAAGGTGAAGTCTGTTCTGGATTGTATGTGGTCCTTTCATCAGTAAAGAAGTGCTGGCAACACTTTGAGGCTGGAATTCACAAGCAAATTAGTTCTAGAGAGAGAAGAATGGCATGTAGTTTTGAGGTAAATGGAGTTCAGCTTTTGACACTGACATCCAGTTTCACCAAAAAGTGACAGACAGTGAATAAAGCGTGGAAGTTGAAGTTGCGCAGAAGGAAATAGAGTAGGAGGGGGAGGGAAAAAAATCATGAATGAAAGTCAGACATAGAGAAACACATTGAGAGGGAGATGCGATTTAAAAGAGGTGCAGAAATATTTACATGTGGCGGGTGTAAGCTTCTCGGCAGTTTACACGAGTGTTTGTTGTAGCCTCCATATGGCCTGTGTGAGTGTGTGTGCTGGCTGTTTGGAGCAGCAGATCTGATGCTCTGACACTCAAGTTATGATGATGTGGTGTGTGTGTGTGTGTGTGTGCCTCTCGACTGCCTCTCACTAAGTGGATCATCAAAGAATCAAAGGCAGTCAATGCTTGAATTAGCCCTCTGTTCTTTATTCAGCCTGTGCCTCCTTTGTAGTGTTCCTGATAATAGAATATCACAGGCTATATGTGGTGCAGCTGTGACGAGCTACACTGTTGATACCAATCAGTCTGCGTTGCATCTTCTTTCTTTTCTGGGCTTCTTCCCGTCGTGGAAACAGAAGCGTGAGAGATGGCGAGAGCAGAGGAAAGTGAAAGGAAGATTAAAGAGCAAAAGTAAAGAGATGGATGAAAGAGATTTTGAAGAAGGTAAAGGTAGAGAGGAGATGGAGTTGGGCGGGGGGAGTGATGTGTGTGTAGCATCATGTAGTCACATCCCACAGGAAAGGTGTCCTGTGTCGTAATGTAGCAGAATGCTAATCCGCCGAAATGAAAAGTACACAACGCTGAGCTCCAGTGCACACACACACACACACCTCACAAGGATACAATGATTAAAGTCAAAGAGCATTGTGTTTTGTTCCTGGCTCAGTACGTTGTGTGTATTAACGCTGCTGTTGTTGTTTCTTTTCTTTGCCTTCCCCTTCTCATCCTCCCTCCTTTCTTTTGTTTTTCTTTCCAATCTTTTCCCCTAACACAAATTACTCATCCTCCCATTCTTCCTCTCTAATGACATCCTATCTTTCTTTTCTCATTTCTTCCCTTCACCTGCATTCTTTCTTCATTTTTACACCTCGACAACCCCTTCTTCCCCTCCCAACTCCTTCTGCTTCCTGGGACACAGAGAAAGGTAACTGCTTCCTTGTGTTGTGCTCAAAAGTGATATTGCTCCTCCACTGTTTTCAGTAATCGTTATGTCAGGACTCCCAGCCCTGTGTGCAATCACATCTGTCACTTCAGGCTTCAAATCAGTGACTTTGCTTCACCCAGAGTCGCTGTTGCGCTTTACGGGAGCACGGTGGCGACTACCAGAGGTCTAAATCACTGGTGTTAAATCATCAGCGAGCCAGACTGGCCATCGGCTATTTCCTATTAAGAGTTGCATGCTGCTTTATGACATTTTGAACCCCCAGAGAGCGAAGAGAAGTCATAAAAGAACCATTTGTAGTATGCGAGGCAAGGCCACTCATGCTGCTTTGGTGACGCACTGCTCAAATGTCCCTGAACGAAGTGCACTGGACACCACACACACACAAAATCAGTCGCACGTGCTATCACGGTTTCCTTCCTGGCCACAGGCGCAGAGCATTATCGACCCAAAGTGTGTGAGCACACAATTAAGCAGAGGAGACAGGCCAGATAATGGACTCATAAACACAAAGAGCCCCACTGTGATAAATGCCAGCTTTGTTTGCCATATTTCTGTTTGTGTCCACGGTTATTTTGGAGTGTGCGATGTGTTTGTTTGTGTGTGTGTGCAATGTATTTGTGTGTGTGTGTGTGGGTGTGTGTGTGTGCATGCATCTGGTGACACTCCCATCCAGTTGGCTTCTCTTCATATCCTCACTCCCCTCCTTTCACTCCATGTTGTCTGATTACTCCGTCATTTCTGTCCTGGCTGGAAAAAACATCCTCCTACCTTTTGTTCTGTAGCTTGTCTCACCTGTTAATGAGGAAGAAAAGCATCTTTCATCTTGTCTGTGTTTGTGTGTATGAGTGTGTGTGTAATATATCCCACATGCAGCTGTTTTTCATCTGCCACCCACACTCTGCGTAAAGTTTCCTTCTCAGTGGAGCTTCCCTCAATCTCCTCATTTTTCTCTGCCATGTGGCACCACTGTGAAGCTCTTGGCATGTGGTTTCCTTGGGCACTGCGATACACATCTGCCTCCGTATATGCATATGGCTGCATGACTGTCTGTGTGCTTGTGTGTGTGTGTCGTTGCAGCCGAACATCCGTTTTCAGTTCAGGAATGTCACACGTTAAAGGGGCTTTGAGTAATATGCTCTTCTTAAACCCTGATTGGTGAACAATGAATTGCAGCTAAGCCTGCAAAGCTTAAGGCAGCCTGTAAATGAGACAAATAATGAAGTCGCAATTTCACAATAAGTGAGTGACCTAATTAGAGCACTGCTCCAACAAGAAATGTCTTGGGAAGAGGTAAATATATCATGATGCAAAATAGGGTAATAATAATTTTGTTGTCATTCGTGGCTTTTATTTCTTATGCACGAAATGCGACCTGCAGCTTTTCCTGGTAGCTTTTTTTTCCTCCATTGTCGAACAGGTGACAATGCAAACAGGTGCACAGTGAGAATTGAAAAGTTTTTTTTTTTGTTTCAGAACAGAAGACAAGTCCAAGGACAAACTCTCTCTTTTTTTAATGTTTGCAATGAGTCACAGCAAATACAGATAGGTGGAAAAGATGTAAAAGCAACTCTAGCAGAACAGCTCTCGATAAGAGGAACATAGAACAAAATGTGCTCAAACACTGAAGTGCGAATGGAAAGTAATCAAGATATTCCCAGAAACTACATATAAACACTAACTCTAGCCCCATGAACTCAAGAAAGAAAGAAAGAAAAAAAAAAAACGCTGAAAGAAATGTAAAATACAAATTGGCAATCACATCTACATATTGTCCCGAAGCTGAGTGCCTTTTGGGAGACGTCTGAAGGCCTTAAAGAAGTGTTTGATCACAATATCCAACAATGTTCCAAAGTGGTTCTCCAAGGAGTAATACCGGGAGGCTTTGAGGTGACAACTATAATCTATTTGCTCAAAAATGCAGCCAGCAGGAGCCATTGAGTGCATTAAGTAGATGAAACCCTTCTCTCCCACATGCAAAATATGGAATTAAGATGTGCTATGAAATGGAACAAATATTGTTACAGCAAATTTACAAAAAGATAAAACCATGTAATGCGAAGTTAATTCAAGGATTCTGCATGTTGTTAACTCTAAATAACCTATAATCTGTCTTCCTTCTCCCTTATCACACACTCACCTCAAGGTACAGTAAATGCTGACATTCTCCTCTTATGGGAGAAACAGCCGGCCACTGCTTTCTTGGCTTTCCTCCCTCTTTTCCCTCTGTATTATCTTTTCTCTCCACCAGTTAATTGAAAACTTTCCTTCCTCATATATAATCATAAATGTTACACGGCAGCTGGGAAATGTAAAGAAACTTAACTTACACGGTTGACTGAAATTGAAATCAAAATAAATTTACTGGCAGGAAAATCTTGCTTACTGATTGTTACTTAGTGCCCCTTTAACCAAGAAAACATTTGGTTTGTGTGCTGTGAAGGTGCATTTTTGAGTTTGTCTCATCTGCATTAGAAACTAACGTGCGATGATTCCTCCCTTCCGTCCACGCTTCAGGGATTTTGCCTACGTGGCCAGAGACAAAAACACGAGGGTGCTGAAGTGCCACGTGTTCCGATGTGATACTCCTGCTGCAGCCATCGCCACAAGTCTCCACGAAATCTGCTCCAAGGTGGGTGTCATTAGCGCCGCCGCCTCCACATGAATGAGCTTATCTGCTGCTGTGAAACAAGCCATCAAGCCTTAATCAGTGCGACTATTACGGAGAGAAAAAAAAAATCTTCTGTTCTGCTGATGCAGTTATTCAGAGCTACTTTTAAGGCTGTAACTTAGATGATACTCTTACATGTATGTTACAGGAAACTAATAGCCAGGACTGCGGACACGTTTGCGGCGCCCTGATAAGATTTTTGCTGTCATTTACTCAAGAAGTAAGATCTGAGAGGACAGATAGAAGGAAGTTTTAATAGCCCCTACAGTGAGAAGAGGAGATAAAATTCAGGTTACAGAGCACATGCAGTGTTTATTCAGGGAGTTTTATCTGTGTGTGTGTGTGTGTGTGTGTAGTAACAGTGCATTATCCCGCTCAACGACAACGAATCCCATGAATGCAGCACTTGATTCACACATTCACATTTCCTCTCTCGCTCCCAATCTTAAAAAAAAAACAATCATCTTATCTAAAATCAAGGACATTGCACACATTGCATACTACACAGAGCCACCGTAAAAATGACTTCTAATGTGCAAATGATTTTAGTGGATATAAAAATATACAGAGCTGCGGTTCATGCAAGGCCACACATTTTGGTCCATAAACGCGACGTGACATGAAAGAAAAAGTGAGAGAGAAGCTGCTTAGTGTTTGGGAAAACCACCACACACTTCAGTAAAATTGACAGAGAACAGTGAAATAATAGTGGCACATTACTGGTGTGACAGCAAACATGCCAGAGAAACATGACAAATTGTTTTTTGGGCCTACACAGCAGCAGCATATCACCCAGCAATTAATAGCTTCCATGCACATACAAGAGTTCCACAACTGGTCGCCATTGGTACAAATCACAGAGTCTTGAGACTTGTTTGTCTTTCTGCTACTGGCAAAATGTTTTCGGTGATACCTGAGCCCAACTTAATGTCCTGACCTCAGTCTCGGTGTTATAAATTATCATTTTTGCATGGCGACGCTTCAAAAGCCTGACCATAACCATAAAACTCATTATCTGAACGCACTAATTGTGACACTATTCAGTTCAGAGTCATGAAAGAATTACAAAGTCTAAACTCTCGACATGAATCGCAGCTGCATTTATTCAATTAAAATCATATGCACATTAATAGATTCTAATTCTTGAGCAGAGGATTAAAGAGTCAGTTCAGAAGAAATGCTTTCAGCAGGATGAAATTAGATTTTATGAGCTGACCAGGATCCTTGTAGGGACATTGATAGATGGGTGTAGTAGCGTGATACCGGCATGTAAACATACTGGATGATGTTATGAAGCTGTGAGGTTTGATGATAACAAATAATCCCTCATTTGAATTGCCTCCTGAAGAGTGTAGGACTCCACTGCTGTCTGAACTCTACACTTATCGTGAGAACCAGAGGTCCAGTTTTTTTTACGTATCTATTGGCTGCTTGATCCTCCAAACTTGATAAAAAGTTTGACTTTAAATCTATTCATCTTCCCCAAATCATAACTCATCTTACTTTGGTGATCCCTTGACTTTCTTTTATTGCCATTATGATGTTGACACTCTACCCTTTTAGTGGAACAATAACAACTGTGTGGATTGTGATGAAATTTGCCACAGATATGCAAAGTGCCCAGAGGATGAGCTATCGAGGTTTTGGCGATTCCCGAGGTTTTCCTGAGGTACCACCAGGATGTCAGAGTTTCACTGTGAAATATCTCAACATTTTATTGGATGGATTTGCACAAAAATGATTCCAACTTACTTTGGTCTCCCCCTGACTTTTGTTTCAATGCCACCATGAGGTTAAAATATAGGATTATGAGGCAAATGTCTCAACAGCTAGTGAATTTATTGCATTGAAACACCACACCATTACAAACAATGGACATATGAGGTACCATGAATCATTAAATAGTTGTGATTAACTGATACCAAGCATGCTATGGGACTGTCTCAATGATGCATCGAGATGTAAACAACGCTCTGTCAAGATGCATCCCCCTACCTTCAGAAATCTGTGTTAAGAAGCTAGTAACAGTACAATCCACTGGCTTTATCATTTACATCCAGCAACAGGACTAAGATTCACATCTGGTATCTATGGAAACAAGACCATGGTTGAAATGACTAAGTTGCACCTCAGTACCTGCAAGGATATTGGCTCACTTTTCTCCTCCACTTCTCTACTCTCCAGTTTATGCTGACAGTCTGCCTATCATTAAGAAACTGCATATATTCTGTGCTGCTTCACAGAGCTTTCATCTACCTGTGCACCAGATTCTGTCCAATTCGATCCAAATTCCTTCATTTAAAGTGTCGGCCACACTGTTGCCCAGATGAGCAGCGTGGTCCAGGCTGAGTTTACCAGTGCCAATCAGCCCAGTTTCCTGTTATTAGACTCCATCATTACTGCCAGTCTGGTCAAGGCCGGAGTCTTGCTGGTGTGTTTTTGTCACAACAGTTGTGGCATAGATTCAGAACCCGACAGTCAGGGCCAGCTGGAGGTTTCTGACAGATGACCTCAGCAGAGGCCTAAAAGTAGAAGAACTGGCACGACCCATTAACTGGAACTCACCCACATTCCTGGTTCAGTGACCAGTGATACTTGTGACTGGAGCAGGACTTTGATGACAGTCAGTTGAGGAGGTCTGCTTTTCTTGGAGACATCTGAGTGGTATCAAACACTCAGATCCTTTCGAGCTTGTCCATACTGTGAGGTACTGTCATGGGGATGCTTCAGATACTGGAACACATTAAGAGCTCCATTACGACTCGTATCCAGCTGAAGTCAAAGCCCTCAAGGTCAAGCGCCCTCTTCCGGCTGACAGCCACTTGGCCTCTCTTGCACTACATTTGACCGAGGCTGCTCCATTCGGGCCTGGAGCAGGTCTTGGCAAAACTCTACTGGGTGCTTTAACGCGCTTGCAGAGACTGCCAACACATGCTGTGCCAAACCAAACATTTCAAAAATGGCAACCGGCACACAAGCCATACCTACCAGACTGCTGGGCATAAGTTGAAATAAACTGTGGGAACGATTTCCCATTTCTGGGGCCTGATTTTTTGCCAAGAAAATGTCCACATTGGCCGCGTCAACCAGCAAGATGTAGTGGAACTGTAAACTTGTGCAAAATGCATGACTAAAAGTAGTCCCTGAAAAATATCTGTTTACCGTTTTTGAGTAATGTCTGTGAAACAATTAAGTATGCAGGTGTTGGATGAAATTACTGGGCCTTTTCTTAAAAACAGAAATTTTACATTCATGACCTGTAAAGGTGAATGTAAAGGTCTTAAGGTGGCTCTGTTATGCAAGGTTTGGGTCTATTTGTCTCTTTAGAGGAACGAGTTGCTTTAAATCAATACAAAAAGTGATCAGCTTTGTCCCATGACAAAATATTTTTATCCCGAAGGGCATATGACAAATGCCCCAGTCCACGGGGCATTAGGAGTCACTGAACGGATTGATGTAAATGAAAAGTCTGTTAATTATATACTCTGGCGTTTCACATCAGATCCTAAACCCAAATAAATCCTTTTGGAATATTTTGGACTGATGTGTTAGACAGCAGTCTCCAGTACCATGATCAAAACACTAAATGAGGTAATATATTTTGACAGAGTGATGTTCATCCCTCCAGTAGAGTTCAGAGACTTGGGGAATCCAAGCCAAGATGCTGTTCTGGCTGCTTCAAAGGTGGTCCAGCACTTTAGTAAGATCCTTGATGTTGGCTTTACCTTTAATTTGCCACCTGTCTGTATGTCCTTGACTCAGAAAGTATTGAGAGACAAACCAAGTGTGACACTGGAATACCAATTCTACCTCTAACATAATGAAGGTCATTGAGTGATGTGCAGCGTAGTGGTAATATACAACACATAAACACCACTGATGCTTTTTACAGCACGGATACTGAGACTACACTAAACACACACAGTTCACTTGTTTAGAGACCCTTGGCTTTTCACACACAGAGACACACACACACACAGACTCACACATGCAGAGACACACAAACACACACACACACAGACAGACATAGCCCTCTGGATATAAAGAGACACCAGCCTGTCCTCAGGCCAGCAGTGACCTGGAACTACAGATCTACTCGCTTCAAGGCGTGTCGACCCATTTAGAGAGAGAAGTTTTTTTTCCCCCCCCTTTAATTTCTTCTTATCTGTATCCCCAAACTGAAGCAAGAATGTGCATCGGTGTGTCTGTATGTGTGTGTGCGAGCGTGGCCCTTCACACCTTCATACTGCCTATTTTAAACACAGTGGTAGTTTTCTCTTTACTGCAGGGGAGAAACTTGGTGACCTGAGCCTTGCAGCTGCGCAGCGAACTGAACGGGCCTCCTCGGTGTGTGTGTGTGTGTGTGAGAGAAAGAGTGTGCGAGTGCATGCGTCTTCTTGCATGTTCCCCGGTGAGCAGAGTTGCAGACTCACCACGGACTTTGATTAATGACACCTACAATTAATCAAGTATCTGTAGCAGGAAGCGAGTGCGGTGCAGGGGCCATGCAGAATATTCAACACTGTTTAAAGAGTGTGTACACTGCAGCAGGAGAAAAGAAAATAGAGAGAAAAGACAGCTTCTTTAACAGTTTTAGGTATACTGGTTGGCAGAGGAGAGACAAAAGAGTAATGTTGTATATTTTTGTTACTGTGAAAAAAAAATCCCATTAAAAGACTAAAACTAACAATTACCTGATCCTATAGCATGTATTACCTGATACAGCTTATTCCAGTGTACCACAAGATTCCATTGTTGTCCAGAAACTATTAAAAACAAATCAATGGGCCACACCATTACACTGGCTGACATGAGTACTGTAATCTATTTGGATTCCATCCAACGTACGCTCTCCTGCTGCCTTAAATACTCAGTGTAGTGCACCAAATCTGTGGCTGAAAATAGTCCTCAACAAATACACTATTTACTTCTGTTAGAAAAACTACACACCTGTGATCTGTTCGATCTTTGGTAGACATGCATTGCCTTCAGTGAGTGTTATAGATAAAACAGGGAAGGATTGAGAAATGGACCGACAGTTTTTTATTTTCAAGCTTCACTGAGTAATTTTTTGAATGGATAAAAGCTACCAAATATTCATTCATTGTCAGGATTTTAACCCCTTAAATGCTTGTTTGTTTAAATAATCCTAATGCTTTTTTATGGGGGAAAAAATCAATATACTGAATGCAAAGAGTATTTATTTTATTTTTTATTTTTTTGGTTTATTGCAGTCTGGGATATTACATAGATTCTGAAACATTATTATTTTTGAGCAGTGTAAGATTAAAAAAACTCAGTCAGAACCTCAAAGACAAATGTTTCAGCACAAAAAAAAGCCATTAATTTTTATGTACTATGTTCCACTTTCACTAAGTATTTTTTGAACCAACATCAGTCATGATCATATCTACCAGATATTCACACATTTTCAAGATTTAAACCCTTTGAATTCCAGTTTATTTCCTTATAACCACTGTTGTTTTGTATGAAAAACATAAATGAAATATTTTCAATGTATTAAATGCTAAATGTTTTGTTGAATATTACACTCTGACATCTGTCGGTGATTAGCTTTTTTTTTTTTTTTTGCAATGTCAGACAAAGAAAAACACACAGGACCTTAAAGACATCAAAAACTACCATCAAACTATTCTATTTTAAGATTATTTTCCACTTTCACTTTTTTTTACATATTTCTTTTTATCAATAGAAAAAATATAGGATGAAGCCAGCCTAATCCTTTAATATTTGTATGCTTCAGCTGTAAGTCTAATTTTCTGGTGCTTAGTTATTTGTCAGACAATCTTATTTGAAGCCTGTTGTGCCTGTTTTCAACCAACATTACCTTCTTTTTTCCCCATTCATATTCTGATTGCTTTCCTCTTCTCATTTTTCTCACACCTCTTGTCTTCTCTTTATTCCCTCTCCTCTTTTTTTTTTATTTTGTTCTTCACACTCTATGCTTTCTCCACCTCTGTCTTCATTTTTCCTCTCTCTCTGTTCAGATTATGGCTGAAAGGAAAAGTGCCAAGGCTGCAGCTGGCAGCTCCTCCCAGAACGGCTCCGATGTACCCCTACAAGGTACACAAACCCACAGTGGTGTTTCCATCACTTCCCGATGACATTTGTTCCCTTGAGACTTTTGCTAATTCTAACCATAACTACTGTTTGCCTGACCCGAACCTTTACCATAAACAATGAAGCCTTCAACTTAAAGTGTAATGATTTACACAATGCAGACTTGCTTTTTTGTCCCTGAAAGGGAGGCAAGTTTCCACAACGTGACTGTGTAAACAGATTAATGTCCCCACAACATAAGTAATACAAGTTCACACAAACACACACACACTTTATCTTTGAGTCATTTTCTTTTGTAATTCCCTCGTGAAAGAACTGGATTTGTCAGCCGTGTGCTATCTTTCCTGTTGTGGTTTCTGTTCTCCCACTACAGCATTCCTCCACATCTAAAGCTACGTATATGCGCTTTTATAAAGATGACCTTATTGCCTCAGGAGCAACCATGGGCGTTTGTTAATAGAACAGATAGCAGTGTTTGGTTCACTTACATACAGATAATGCTAACTCCACCTTGTTCGACAATCGCAGAGCGTTATCCTCACTGCACTAATTCTATTCGCAGTTTTCCATTTCTTTTCTAATTCTCACTGCATGTTCCTCTGAGTCCCAAGCAATTACAGGAAGACAGAGAAAAAGCCCCAGCGCTATTCATTCTCAGCTATAACTTCAGCTGGCGTCTGCTGAACATGGGGGAAAGGAGCTCCAGCATCAGAATATAAAAGAACTATATCGGCTCTTCACTTACAGAGGCACTCGACCTCATTAAAACCCAATTAGTGTTTCTTTGAGGCAAGGCCTGGTGCTCCACAGACCCCATCCCAACCTCAGGATCAAAGAACTTATTGGTAAAGGATCCCTCACATCTTTTAAAGCTGTAACTTGCTTGAGCGCATAGATTCTTGACTTTTTAAAAAAAACAGTTGGTACCCAGCGAGATGTGACGCCCTTTGCTGTCGATAGACCAGTCCATTAGCTCTAGAGTTTGTCTACAACTGGCTTCGCAGTGGATGGAGAACAGCTCCAGTTGTTGCCTGAATTGGTTCTCTTTAGGGTAGCTGATGGTGCACAGTCCTGTGTTGGGACTCAGCTGAGGAGATTAGTACCAAATGAATTGGGGAGATTAGCACCAAATGATTTGGGATGAGCGCCAACTCCAAGATAATGGCCCTGCTGTCCTCATCAGATCTGGTCTGTCTGAGATTTCCTTAAAAATGGGATTAATGTATGAATAGGCTTTCACAATTCATTGTTCATGTAACTACAGTTTGCACAGCTTTAGCAGTATACACCAAATATATGAGATATTAGGGGAGAGTACTCTGTGGACATGGATCCAGGCAAAAGCCATTATCGCTACATATTCGTACTTCATACCCATTTGAACCTGACCACTCAGGTTTTTGAGCAACCAGGTTATCACTTAATCTGATTTCTTTTGCAATCAAGTTACTCAGACCTACAGGAACTGCTGGGTTTGGCTGTAGGTAAAACTTAGCATGCGTCTGACCACATCAAACTTAACCAGTGTGGTCAGATTTCAAGCAGAGAGATCTTTAAAACACTGCTGTTCACCTGCTGCTACATCAACTTTGAAGCGTAAAAATCTAAATGTTCTATGGCAACCATGCAACAATACCAATGTAAAGGAGAAAGCAGAAATTGACAAATTTCCGGTTCCAGTTAGCTCACATTTTTGAAATCAATGTGACAAGCAATAGAGCAAAGTCAACTATTCATGTCACCATTTATTGGGCTCTTTGTGTTCTTTTAGTGGTGATTTTTTAAATTAATTTTCTGATTGTTTCCTTCAGCACATTCAAGAATCGGCAATCTTCAAACTGTTAATCACAGTTAACTCCTTCCTGTGTTTGGCATTTTATCATCTTGTCAGAAATCATCCCAAGCTTGTAAAGTTAATTGTGTGTTAATACGGAGGTCTCGAGGGCAGAAGATGTTAACATTTATGCTGACTGACATGCAGGTGATACGGCATCATCCTCATTTATTGTTTATGGCCGTCTTTTACAAGCCGTCGTGTAAAGTGACACAGCTGGGTTTTCGCACAGAAACCATCCAGCTCTCTACAACCCTGCATGTTTTACTGTGTGTGTGTGTGCTTTTTTCGTGCCCTAATCATGTCAGCAACACCCTAAAATATTAAAATATTTAGCAGTGTTTGTTTATTTCTCTACTTTAAGCCAATTACCATGTTTGGACATCTCTTTTGAAATTTTGTGTTAGATGTTGTTGTGTGACAAGATTTTCGGTGGGCGATCTGTGTGTGTTCTAATGTGGGGATTTCTCCCACTGCAGAGTTTCCCATGCCAAAGACTGAGTTGGTGCAGAAGTTTCATGTGCTGTATCTGGGGATGACATCTGTTTCTCGACCTATAGGTAAAACTGAGCCCATACTGAAATCTATACGCACATCATTAACTGTTATGCATCCTGCCATAAACTCCTCCATCTGCTGTCTCACTGTTCAGACTCTCCTGTGTTTTGTCCCCAGGTATGGACATCATAAATGGGGCCATAGACAGCCTCCTGTCCTCCACAGGCAAAGAGGACTGGACTCCTGTCATACTGAGTATTGCTGACACCACCGTGGCTGTCATCAAAGAAAAGGCAAGGGAGTTTTTTTTTTTTTTGTTGTCGCTGTCCTGGGGACCAGCAAATAAATAAAAGATGTGAATGCTTGTCAATTAGAAAGGAATGTCTAATAGAGCTCTGACTCTCCTCTTTTGATGGCTGTGCAGGAGGAGGAGGAGGAGGTGCTGGTGGAGTGTCGTGTCCGTTTTTTGTCCTTCATGGGTGTCGGACGGGATGTGCATACATTTGCCTTCATTATGGACACAGGGAACCAGCATTTCCAGTGTCATGTGTTCTGGTGCGACCCCAATGCTGGCAGCGTGTCTGAGGCTGTGCAGGCAGCTTGTGTGGTAAGTTCTGAAGTGTAAAAGTAATTCATTGTGGTGTTTTAGGGGTTATTTGCTGGATTTTGTTACACTCTGACAGAGGCAGCAATTCAGCAATTTCCCCAAGTTAGCTGCAGATAGCTTTATATGTAGTTATTTTTTTTGTTGCATTTTTGTATTCATTGTAAAGGTAGACAATGGAAGAGAGAGGGTACTGACATACAAGAAGGGTCCTTGGCTAGATTCCTAACCATGGGTTTAACAGCCCTGTCCTCTTCTTCCTCAGCTCCGGTACCAGAAGTGTCTGGTGGCACGGCCGCCCTCCCAGCGTGCTGGCTCTTCCACCTCGCCCTCTGCAGACTCAGTGACCCGGCGGGTGACCACCAGCGTGAAACGCGGCGTCCAGTCTCTCATAGACACTCTGAAAACCAAGAAACAGCCGTCAGAACTCCCCCAGCAATGACCGTCACCACTGACCACTGCACCCCCCACGCCTCCCCCCAGCCTGGAAGCCACTCACACTATCGCCACAACAACACTTAATCAGTACCAGCCATGGTAACCAATGATGTATATACAGTATAACAAACATCACTGCAGTTAAAGGAAAGAAGAGCAACCCTCAAATATGCCTGATGATAAAAAAGAAAAAACAAGAGCGCTCATCTGTTTCGTGTGAAGGATTGGGAGAAAACTGGTGTCACTGGTTGAACTTTGACCTTTGAACGCTGCTTTGTCCAAGTGGAACCGACCTCCTGGACGTGGATTTCCGAGGTAGATGGATTACTTGATGGCACACTCTACAAACAGGACACAGGATTATACAGAAGAAGAAAAAAAAAATCTAATTTCTATTTATGGACTGGTTATGGAGTCACTCATTGGTTTACTCACTTTTCTTTCCATCTCTGTCCCCTTCTGAACTCCTGGACTGGATGGGCTACAGCAGCCTTCCAGGACGAAAAAAAAAAAAAGGTGTTGTCTTGCTGTCATGGGCATTTGACAGGTGAATGAGAAAAGCAACCAAGAGCAGACAGACAGTCAACAGCCTGCAGCTGCCCACCCAATGGCATAAAAATGTTTCAATCCCTTCGACGTGTGACAGACTTGAACAAGACAAAAACTTAACATCTCCTTTATTGAAGATTTAAGTGATTGTAATAATGAAGTGTATGTAAATGATTGTATGTAGGAAGAGAGAATCTAGGGCACAAAACCTGTAGATATGAGGGAAAGGTGAGATGTTGGCGACAGAAACTGGGACAGAAGTGGGGTTTGATTTTGCATGTTTTCTTGATGGGGTATGTTTTTTGTTGATGAGTTAAGGGTCTTGATATGAAGACAGGTGAACACAAAAAATAGATGCTGTCAGCACAAGTCATCTCCACTTAATCATGACTGGATTTACACTGGCACACAAACATCTGGCCTATTCCTCACCCCTGCCTACCGAGAAGGCAAGTCTCTACGCCATTTACGAAAATACAATTTAGAATCATCAATCAGTCCCTTCTCTAATGGGCGGGTAGATCAGCAAAAAGAAAGTTAAACATTTTTAATGTGTTTTCAAGCTTTAAATGAGTTAAGATTGTAACTTTTCCTTTGCATATATTGTAGAAAAAATGACTTTAAAACATCAAGAATGTTGCATTGCTTCTGTTCAAACTTTACAAATTCCTCAGGAATCTTTATGCAGATATCCAAGATTTATGTTAAAGCGAGAAATTCCAAATCTAGGCTTTGACTATGGCAGATGCAAAGCACCCGTGGCTGTATGAACAGCAGTGCACAGTAGTGTTCGCCGTGCTCGGATGACACGGAAAAGATCAAATCTGTGCCATACACTAAGGATTACCTTTTTTTCTTTCTTTTCCTAAGTAAACCCAGCCAGTGTACTCCCACTCACATACAAAATATACACACACAAATATGCACATAGAGCAGTAAAAAAAAAAAAAGTCACTGTCACTGCTGTCAAAACTTTTTACAATGCTCCGATGGCTCGGGGCCATCACCTGCACTCAATATGAACTCTGTGAATGCAGTTTGATCTAAATGGAAAACACTCAAAACAAAGGAGAGATTCTATAAATCATTTCATTTCTGTTCGTCACCCATCTCTACACCGTGTAAATGTAATCTGTTGTGACAATAAATGCATTACCAAAAGGAAAAAGGAGCAGCTTCTTGAGTATGTCCTTTAATTTTTCAGGTCAGTGGAACCCTGGTAAAAGCTATTCATGGTGTAGTGACATTAAAGTGACATTGGCCAGGCCCTATAAATGTATACAGCTTGACTTGATTCTGACTGTGGCAAGGTTGTTCTTTATGGCACACAAAGACATTATAATAATGACGTTGCAATAATGGCGAGTAAAAATGGCTCTAGAAGCATTTAACAGGACACTCACAGGCTCTGCGTGATTTGGCACTTTAATATGACCGTATACATTTTGATGTTAAACTTAGATACGACCGACTTTAATTTAGCAAGCACTGGACACAGACGTTAACCCTTCTGTAACAGCCGAGTTACAGTTTGTCGGGTCAAAACAGAGGACGGGATTTGCCCATAGCATTCTTGGAGAGATCACCACTTGAGCGAGAGGAGGACGCAAGTTGAGCTGGTGTCTTCCACCTGTTGGACTTTAAGCTGGGGCTGAATCCCGTTCGACTGGGCTGCCGAGATGGGAAGAAGTTGGGGAAGTGAACGGGAGGCAGAACGAGCAGCGCGGGCTTCAGCACCTCCTGCTGAGCTCTACGGGGACGGTCAGCTGGGGTTGCAGGGGTCGCTGGAGGGGAGGCAGGATGCGGAGTGGTGGGGGTGGTAGTTGTAGTGTTGAATACGGGGGCGATGCTCTTAGCAGGTGCGCTGTTTTCCGGGTTGGAGCAGGAAGAGGTGGAGGAGGAGCTGGCGCGTTCTTGTTTGGAGAAAGAGAAGGCGCTTGACACAGTGTTCTTTAAGGCTTGCATGGCCCGTGCTTTTGTTTTTCCTGGAGGACAAAAACAATCAGGTCAGAGATAGAGGTGTGGATTTCTGGACACAAGTTTAGAAAGCACTGTAATAAAAAAAAAACACTGCATGCTAAACTATTTGTATTCACACAAACCTTTTTCTTTGCTGTTTCTCATTATCTGTTAAAACATTAAGCTACTGTTAGCTGCCAGTTAGCTGAGCTTTAGTACAAGCCTAGAACTAGAAGCAGTTGGAAACACTAATCTGGCTCCCCAAAGGTGCACAAAAGTATAGTTTGTATGTATTTATTGGATAATTCAATGAGCCTTAGAGATGTTTGTTGGATTTTTTTTTTTTAATCTTTTGAGAAAGCGAGGCAAGCTGTGTCCCCAGGTCCACTTTTTATGCTGTTAGTTGTCTTTAGCTTCATATTTAATGGACACATTACAGTGTGGTATCAATCTTTCAGGTGCTCTGCAATTTTAACTCCACGCAACAAAGCCAAAGAGTGTATTTACCAAAACATTAAACTACTCCTTTAATCAGCTGGTTGGACCTGTGACTGCATACAGCTGAAATAAGATATGGTGAATTATACATCACAACAACAATGACACTACAGTCACCATATTTAAATCTTTATAATACAGGTTGTACATATTGCTACACATTTTCTGTATATATTGTTTCTACATCTGCACACGGGCTTTTTGTTTTGTGTGCCCTTGTCTTTTTGTACGCATTCCCCCCTGTGTGTGATGTTACTGTGTGTACAAGCCGGATCAGGTACACAAAATATTTCACTATGTGTTGTACTTTGTACAACTGTGTATGTGACAAATAAAATGTGATTTGATTTGATACAGGGCCACGGTGATCATGCTCACCTTGTGATGACTGCCGCATGTTGGTAAGTTCTGGATGCCCACACACAATAGCACTGTTGCTGTCCTTGGTCTGCTGGTTTTTGGATTGAATGCTGTCAGAGAGGTGGGGCTGAGAGGTGCGAGCATGGGCTGCTTTTTTCATTCGACTGGTATATCCATGGTGCTCTTTTCTGGTCAGGGGTTTGCAGTTGATCTTGTCCAGTATTCCCTTTGCATTTGCCCTGGCAATGGTTTCTTGTGGTGCCTCTTTGACTTCAGGTTCAGGCTGTTGAGAAGGAACAAAATAATATCTTATATTTTCTAAACCAAAAAAATTTTAGGATGAAAATGTATTCGTGAATGAAGCATACTGTACAGTGAAGCATACAGCCACAACTCCAGGCACCAGATGACCCTACAAACCAAGAAAGATCTAAAAACTCCCAAGTCGAGAGGAGAGGAGAGGAGAGGAGAGGAGTGGAGCTGAGAGGAGAAAGCCACCATGTCCTTGCTGCTGGCTGCAGGGTCACCTGCTGTCTCAGCAGCACACACACAGCAGCCCACTGCTCCCCTCAGTGCCTGAATTATTCACAAGCACAGTGTACACTATGGGGACATGAAGCCTATGTGAGTTTTTACGTGTATTTTGTTTTATAAGTGCTTGCTTGTACTTCAATGCAAATCTCTCTATAATTCTGTATACACAGGTGTGTGCACACATGGGGAGTGAAAGTGCACATGTGAGCATTTTGCACATGTTTACCTGAGTGTGTTGACACACACTACGCACTCAGGTAAACATGTTTTAGAAGCACCTCTGTAATGCAGTCTTTGGTGGAAGCACTGAACTTCATTGATGCTAACTCATACAGACAGGGGGCGCTGAATTATTCAACAGACACTCTCCCTTGCCTCCCTTTCTTCCCCCTCACCCCTGTAAATCTCACTTCCCCTCCATCTCCACTAAGCAACTGTGCCATACTCTGTAAATCTCTCATTTCCGTCGACACTCTGCCAAACTTAGCCGCCACAGCATTTCCTGAAGCCGAACCCCTTTTATTTATTTATATATATTTTTTTGCAACGCTTACGTCCAAAATCATCTTGTCCAATCTTCTTTGGCAACTGCATCCAAACTTATAAAACTCACTCTAAACAAAAACGAAAACAATGCCAAAGTGAAACATGTAGGATTCTGAATTTCCCATATATATTGTCCAAATTCATTCTTCAGGAGTGGTGTTCTTTTAGTAGAAAGTCCACCTGTGATGTGCTCTGCTTCCTCTGGAAATTAGGCCAGAAACACATTACTTGAATGTCTTTATTGTCCCCAGCTGTTCCTGTATGGAAGGCTCATAAAGAACTTGACTGGGCGCTGCAATGACAGCCAATATAAGCCAGACAGCATTCAAACACTTATATAATTGCTATTTTTATGGGCTTTTCAGAGTGCCACAATAACTTTTGATTAGCTGAGTTTATTGGAGGTAGGAAGAAAAAAACCTGTTTGAGGCACCATTACAGCAGTTTGATTATCTTTTCATTCCTATCTGCGGAGGTATAAAACATGATGGATGGCCAGAGAGAAACAGACACTACAGTACGAGAGAACTCCGTCACACCCGGTGGGGGTACGATGGCTTAATAACCCCGCGCCGGCATCAAAAGCATAAGAGCAGATTTCATAATGTGAGGGAGTATGTCATAAACGTGGCTGTGTTGTGGATTATGAGGATGTGGGGAAGACCGGTCACAAAGACTTGATGATGCACCTTTACCAACCTTGCAACATACTGCAACTACAGCTAGTCGGAGCTGGGCAGTAACACTCTACTGTATTTCTTAACAAGCACCTACAAAAATAACAGAGGGAGAGGAGGATGATGAAGAAGGCAAAGAGAGGAAGATGAAAGAGGATTGGACAGTGGATGAAGTCGGCTGAAATAAAAGACTGAGGGAGACTTTATTAAGCAATGAAAGCCTGTGAGTAGAAAACACAATAGAGGCAGAGGCAGAGTGCTTCCCAATTACCAGTGTTCATAAAGGAGGCAGAAAATCATCAGAAAGCTCCTCTCAGACACTGATATTATTAAAATTGCCACAATAAACCTGCATTCCTTTAAAGAGACTTGGACAGCATCATATTTTCAAGAGTAATTCAAACACACCTCCATAGACATATTCACATACAAAAAGTGCATCCAGTTTCTCCCTCTTCTACTTGTTTTGTCCTTTGAGCTACAAAATCCGAGACCAGCTCTTGATTCTAATGCAGGCTCCGAAGCCGGCATCAGCCTCCCTCACTCCTCTCATCCTCTAATCTCATCCTGACTTACCTCTAATGTTTCTAAAGCTGACCCAGACAATGTGCTCTGTCTTTTGCTTCCCCCCCCCTCCATTTCAGCATTCATTCACACTCGTCCCACCACCTGCTCCACCTACACCTCGCGCTTTCTGTCTGGTTGCTGATTAGACATAGACAAAACTCCCACATCTGTGACCCAACATTCTCATTTTGTAGAGCAGACCAATTTCCTCCCGCCACTACTTTTCTCTTTCTCAAGGGTTTGACCAACTACCTGCCACAGACTGCGATGCTCATTTTCACCTGATCTCAACTTCAGTGGTTCAACGTGTGCCTTTGCTGTGTTTCTGCCCAAACTATATAATAATTCAAAGCTTCATGCTTCAGTTTCCCAGTGGTTGCTTGTTTTTGACAGATAGCAGGGAGCAGAGTGTACCTTCCTCATCATAATTCTCACACTTAAAAGGTTCGGCAATTAAATTTATTTCACTTTGACTATGGTGTGCCTGTGTGTATCCATGAGAGAGCCAACAGTATGGTGGTTGTTCAGGTGTCAGGGGAACAAGAACATCAGAGTTTTTCAACAGACATAAATAAACAGATCATCCAGTGTTTCACCTCAGTGTATTCAGACTGCGCAAGAATGTAAGAAACCATACTCGCATATTTTTTTTTCTCTTTGCAAAGTACTTTGAAGACTGAACAAATGGCCAGGCAATCTTACAACAGTCAGCCAAATTACACCCAGGTATCCCACTGGCAAAGCCTATGGTCAGGTCCAGGACTAGTGATGGAACTTTTCTCTCAATTGAGACCAGACAGATTGGCAGGGCCAGATGTTAAATGAGCTAAATTTGTCCCTACTTATCTCTTTGGCTGCATTGCATAAAAGCAGCAGCAGTGGACAAGTGGTATGGCATTTTGGTATGGAGCTCAGCCATAATGTAGACCAGGGCTTCTTTAAGTCTGGATCTCTTTCAGCATCTGGACAGAACGGCAAGTCAATTCGGACCCAGCTTGTAACTTATGACATAAAAACAGTAGGTTGTTAAGTGTAGCTTGAGATTATTCAAAGGAATCCTGTCCCCCAGTTGAATGCGGTTTTCTGTCGTTGACATGGTTCTCATGGCAACGGTAACTGCTTGAGAGAGTGTTATATGTAGTTGCTGCCAAGCTCACACACTAACTTTACACCGGAGAATTTGCTATCAGCACCAAAGTGCAGAATGTGTCTCGTTTCTTCTAGCACATATTTCTTACAACTATTGTAAATGTAAGAAGATGTTTGAGTCAGAAACAAGTATGAAGTGGAGTAAAACTAATGTAACTGACTGCAGACAAATGTGACATTTCTCCAGCTAGGAAAACATTTATTTTAACTACCTTGATGGTCTTAAACTTGAATGTATGTTACTTGAAAAATATAAGTGAACTACTCTTACTGCAAATCGTTCCAGATCTCTGACCTGAAATAAAATCAGATCTTTGAGTAATAAGTTTGAGAACCCTTGTTGTACACCATACCATCACATAGAAAGGGCGTTCTATTTTGGGGGTGCAGATATCAAAGGTTATTTGTGAATTTCTTAGCTATGGCTTTGCTTGTGAAGTTTCTGCTTACGTGATGCTTACCTCTCTGTAAAGAACAGCAAGAAAGCAGCCATTGCTCTGCTCTGAAGGCTCCAATACGAAGAAGGGGTCTGCTGCCTCCACGGCCTCCGCACAGTCAGAGAAGCTGAAAGTGGAAGGGCTTAGCCTGGATGAAGGATACACAAGGGTAACTGCTCCGACTTCATACATGGCACACTAACAAAGTAGGAAAATACGCTAGGGCTGCAACTAATTATTACTGTTGTTACAGATTCATCTCTAGAGTATTTATTTAATTATTGTTTAGTTCAATCAAATTGTGAAAATTCCCAATCCATGTACCAATGCTCAAGCTCACATCTTTTAATGTTCTATTTTGTTTTTGCAAAATGTACACTGACAAAAACTTTTTTTTGGCAGTAAACTGTCTCATTAGAGAAGCTGGAACTTGTGAATTCCTGTGAATTGTTCCTAAATAAGTTAAAAACAAGTACCTAAACTTTTTTTTGTATTTCTGCATATTCACTTATTGTGGAATGAACATCAATTGTTTTAGCTCTAAAATGCACACAAGCACGAGATGTTTACGTGAAGTCAGTGTGATCCGTACCAATAATATTACTCGTGTTTTATTTATGCTAGCCTGAGGCATTGTCAGCACACCAGGCCAGGGTGCTGCAGAGACAAATCATTCTAAGTCTACAGGAATGGTTAACGTCAACAAGACTGAAGTTCTTAACCCCACAAACACTAAGGAAATAAAACTATTGAAAAAAGAGGAAGGCAGTGCGTCTGAAATTGTTTTTTTTTTGTTTCACAGGCCTTTAAACAGCATTTAGAGACATAAAATGGCACCTTTGATTATATTTTCACTGAATCTCCTTCAGTTTCTGCCTGAGGTGTGCTGAGGCTTTGACAGAAGCCTGTCTGAAGTGAGACGGACAAACACTTCGAAAAGCTAACAGACAGACAGCAAGGCAAACAGACCAAAAAAAACCCAAAACAAAACAGGGAGACAGATGTGGAAAGTACAGCAAGGTACAGAAACTGCAGCTGACCTGAAGTTTGCTTGTTTTGGATCCCCCCCCTGGTCTGAGCAGGCTTTGGCTTGCTGCAGGGCTTGGTTTACTACCTCCACATTCTCCTCTGGGTATGAAGAACAGGTAGAGTAGACTACTGCCAGCACCTTGGGGACTAAACACAAAAAACACATGTGCAGTCGAAAAATGTTTCTTCATCTCTTTTTATAACAATTAAATTTGATTATTCAAACTGAGCCATCCTCTTCATCATGCGCTCCCTTTGAAGAAATGAGCTCTTGAATATTAATTTCTCCACACTGTTTATGCATGTACATTGCTCATTTTATTTAAATGCCGCTGGCTTGTAGATTTTTTAGGCTGCTGGCAGTCTGACTTCCCTCATTTGAGCTTTGATTTCTTTCTTGCTCACTAATTATTGCCAGACAGAAACAATTAACACTCGGCTGATAACAAATAAAACCTACTGAGATGTGGCAGCACAGCTCCAAACAAATGAGGAATGTCGCTTGTGAGGAAAGGAAACTGAGACAAGAAGACGAGAGGATTAATCCATGAGACCAAAATGTTTGCTATTCAGGTGTCCTTACGTGGGTGTGGTGCTCCACAACAGACGTATGGCTGTGCGAGCACTCGTCCATGCATGTGCCTACATGGAGGCACAAATGAGACCATCGACACTCAATACATACCCACCATTAATTACCAGTCCTAATAGGAAGTATCTACACTGACAAAAACATAGACAAGGTTTGATCAATGGCTGTGTGATTAGAGAAGCTGGTGTACTTTACACAAAGCCGACAAACTCGACCTGCTTGAGGTAAATAAGACAGACGAGACACAGAAAGAAGAGCACTGTACAACACAAGACGGACTGAGGCTCAGAAATGTAGCTCAGGGATACGGATTAACAATGAATGTAGGAAAAAATAAATGAGCATAAAGGCATTGACTTCAGAATAGAACTCTAAGATCTGCATAAAATACTATAGAATATAATGCAACGTAACAAAGCATGTCCCTCTGCTATGTTAATATCTACAGTGTGTAAACAATACAAAGCACAATCACTAATCACTTGTTTAAAATATGCAAGGAATACTGCAGAAGACTGTGGCTGGCACAAGGCAACATTAGCATTCCTAATTAAGACTCAGGCGATCTCCAAGGAACACCACGGGCTTCGGTCTAATGGCATATGAGATTAGATAATTAGGAAGTGTAGGTTTCACTGTGTCAAACAGGTAAGAGAGGCTGCACGCCTGAGACTGAGATCATATGGTGCATGTGACTGAGTATGTGTGTGCATGTCTACAGGAGAGCAGGTGGTTGTACACTCACACTTCAAGGCATGATCAATATCCTTCCTCTGCTGCGCTACCAGAGATTCCAGTTTGCTCTGGGCTATGGAGCCTTGGGACAGGTCCTGCAGCAGGTTCATGTCTGAGAAAACAAAGCAGAAAGGAAGGTTTTCAGTTTTTTTTTAAATTGTTCTGTTTAGGAGGGTATATAAACAACTGTAATATAAAAGACATTAACATAAACAGCAATGTTCTTCATTTTTGATATAAAAGTAAAACAAGAAGTAATTAAGTAATTGCTGTGATACATTTGTTCAAAGTGAAAATACTTGATTTTATATTCAAAGATTAAATTACCTCTTATCAAAAAAATTCTGCTGCATCAAAACTCAAACTGTTGAATTATTTACATTGCTTTAAAACCAGCTACTAACTCAAAACTTTGTCTTGCAATATATACAGAGCAGTGTTCACATTTTATGGCTCTGCTATCGTGCACACATCACTACCTCCGTTTTCTTGCAGTATGAACTCGACTGGGTTGCTGACTGCAGACATAGAACACTTGGGCGTCAACAGGATAACGCGCACCTTTTGAAGCCGCTTGTCACCACCGTCCAAAGACTGGAAAACCTCCAGTATCAGCTTCACATCTAGGCAGCATGCACACACAGAATAATGATAACCAGCTCAATCGGCGACATACATTTTCTCACTGCTCAAATTCCATTCACAAGGTCCCCCAGTATTTCTTTGGAGAAAAATTCCCTGCCTAAAGGCATCTTTTGCAATTATGAAAATGTCAACTTTGCCCTTACCCAAAATTGTTATTCTAATGACTAGCTGAAGTGGTATCAGCAAATAATATTTACATACCGCCTCAAATCCCAGCAGACAGGTTTAAAGCACACTGGCTACATTTTGGAGTCTCTGATAATTTGTTGGCAGCAACTACAACAACTGCCAGACTCTTTGTTTAAATACCCCAAATATTTGTTATAATTGGTTAGCACACACAAAAAAAGCCTGTCAACATTTGAATTCATAATTAATGTATCAGTGTGACAGGGGTATATCCTGCTACCTCGTCTTATTTTCATTCCAAAAAAATCAAAAGAATGAAAATGACCGTCTCATGTCATTAAATAGACAGACATTTAACAGACAGGCGTTTTCTCTGCTTCCATCTCTTTGTGTTTATCTCCTCTTTTGTCTCTAAAACAAAGACAAACAAATACTCACAACCCACTCATGGACACATCCATTTTGTGCTTACTCTTGCAGCCCATGGTGGAGACAGCGAGCTGTAGCTCCGCCCTATGAGAGTTTGTACAGTCGCTGACACAAACGTAGACTGTGGGCTGGTTGTTGCTGTTGGATTTATGTTTCCCAGCAATTAGGGAGGCAGTGTGGGAGACAGTGAGGCCAGAGAAGCTGCCCACCATAAGTACATCGCCGTCCTCTGGTAACAGGGAGCACACTGCATTTGGGCCAAGGCTGCATGACTTATCCTACAGGCACAATGAGTTAAAGACATTAGATAGGTGTTGGGATGTCAACCTCAAAGTCCTCCATTCAGGTCAGCAGCATCTGTCGAAGTGGATGGAACACAAACTAAGATATGGGAGGAAAAGACAGGGATGTTTAAAAAGGGAGAAACATGGCAGAAAGAAAGAATGATGGAGACTCATAAAATGAGGAGAAAACTGAGAGAAGGGGAGATGATTAATTAGGCAGCGGTGTTGAATATTTGATTGAATTTGGCCGTAAAATCTGATTTGATTGTGTTGTGGTGCTGTGTGCTGCTTACAGTTTGTATGGCAGCTTGACTTTTATAGAGTAGAAATTAAATGATTAAAATGTCCCCTCCTCCCAAACAGGATAATTCTTTATGGCCCAAAGTGAAGCATGGCCATATGAGTGAAAGTGATGTGAAATATTTGTATCTGGGCAAACTAATCTCAGTTGGCATAAGGGATCTCAGTTTGATAATCAATTTGAGCAAGTCCATTACCAAAGTGAAATCATAAATATCAGAGGGGACTGATGCAGCTGAACAGATTTCCACAGCCATATTAAAGTCTACAGAGGGGAGGCTGCTCTTGTCAGAAACCTTCTTTCTGCACAGCCAGTACCTGGAGGATGAGTTTGTGGTCACTAAGCAGTCCGGTGGAGTACAGCTGAGCTTTCAGCTGAGTAGGGAATACCAGTATATCCCCACAGTGGGGATCCTGGCAGAAGGTCTGGCCCTCCAACTGCCCAATCGATTTCGCTTGCAAGAGGCCCGCACTCTTCAGCACACTTTGGACCTCATCAAGACTGGAAGGAAAGGAGAGGAGCAGCGAAGAGAGCAGATTAGTAGAAACCCAAGAGGAGGGATCAGGGAAGAAGGTCAGAGGTGGGAGAAAGAGGAAGACTGTCATCATAGATAATAATAGCGTGTAGAATTGCTGTGTGGCCTTTTAAAAGACTTTAATAGTAATATGTGCTATAAAAGCTATTAAGATACACACACACACACACACACACACCATTAGTCCCAACAGGTGACCTTTACAGTCCTAGAGCTGGTCGAGGGGTGTTGCTGATTGAATCTGTCTACCGCAGCAGGATTTACACCTAACTGAATCAGCCTGTCAGGCGCGTGCAGGAACACACATAAATACACACATACGTATATATACACACACATTGTCTGGTCGTTTAATTGGATGTCAGCTGGGCACCTGGCCCATAAAACATTGGGCAGCACCCCAAGTTAAAGGTCTGTGTGTGAGTGTAGGTGTGTCTGGATACTTGCACACGTTCTGTGTATGCCTACAGTCCCTTCCCAGGTTTATGTACAGCAATGAGTGTGTACTCTCTGTACGATTTGTGTGCGCTCAGCTCACCTGCTCTTCAGCGTGTTGACCCATGCATAAAGTGGAAGGCTTTTTGATCTCTCCTGCTTCTTTTTCACAGTCTCTGGCAGAATACACTCAATAGACAAGAGACTATGTTTGATCCTGCAGCGAGCTAGAGAGGCTGCCAACTTGGTTTTAAACCTAAATATAACACAAACAAAAGAAAAAAATGAATACCGAGGCTATCAAATTCCTTGATTTGTACTTTCTTTTACAATTCCACTCCCAGCTGTGTTAGCGGGTTCCTCTTTATTTTTCATGCTCTCCTTGACATTTTTCTTTCCCTACCTGTGGAGGTAGTTCTCCACATCTCTAACTTCCTGTATGATCTCCTCCTCCCCCTGGCGTTCCCGCGGGAGGAACTTCCTGTCTTGGAAGTCACAGAGCATGACGGCAACCAGGCTCATCTGTTCATCGGGCTAGAGCAGAAGAGCAAAAGGTACAGTTAATTGGTGACTTCTATTTTAACAAGAGAACAACAAAAAAGTAGCAGCAAGAATAGCGCGCTGCATGCCTAATAGATAAACTTCTCATTTTAATATCACAGCTGAGGAACACGCTTGCATCTGTTGAATGGTTACGCCTCAAAGGTCAGCATATGTTACATAGCTAGAATTTACATGTGCATAACAACAAGACAGCACAACAAGGCATTTGGTGATTTTGAGGTAGCTCTATCTTGGTTACCTAATGAGGGGTACTGTGCAGTGATACTATTTATCTGGATTGATTTAGAGACTAAATTGTATTTAATTTGCAGAAATTGACACCCGTTGTACTTCAAGGATGTCCTGCATTGACCCCACTTCTGCCGCTTAATTAAACCTAGGAGGAAGCCTCAGTTACGTCTCTACCACACCTCTACAATTATCCCTCTCCCTTCAACTATCTATCCCCTGTCTCTCTCTTTCGTCCCAGGTCTATGCCCCTCTCTCTGTCTCAAACTCCACCTTTCTCTCCCTGAGGGTGGGAGGGCACCAGCCATATTAGTGGCAGATGGTGTCGCATGGCAGCAACAGCTTGCCACATCCTCACTACTGAGCTAATGGGCAGAGAAGCCAGAACGCTACAAGGGTTTATGCAGCATCTAAGGAATTAGCCATCACTCATTATTCATTCCAGAGGCTTTAAATTTCATTTTTGGAAAGGTCGATTTCTGAAACAGGTTGTGGCACTCCACTTTTCCGCTCTCGTCCTCCCTCACCACCTCAAGTTCCACTTGCCCTTTACCAAGGTTAAACTCTTGGGTGTGGGAAAATTCCCAGTCATTAAGTTGCCTGGCAACAGTGTCCCATGATGGGAAACTGGCCTACAGTAAACATGCCAGCTCTGTTTATCCAGCTCTAATCCAGGTCTCTTACATAAGAATTTCAGTGTTTATGTTAATATGCCTGTAAACCAATGATTAATTTCAGTTGTGTATTGTGAATCAGTCAGTTGAGTTTTATAGGCTAAGCAGTTGTAATACGTAGCATTAATATGTACCACATGAATAACTGTCAGTTGAAACTGAGTTGAGTTTTAAGATTAAAGAGACCAAAGTCAGTGTTTAATATTCTGGATGTAAGTTTGTACGTTAGATGTGATTAAAGTCTCATATGGCTTATTTTACACAGGGATTGAGCCAATGCCGTGTTAAATGTGCTTTCTACCTAATATGTTTGCCTCGCTAGATTTTATATCATCTCTCAGGCTATTTCCACCCTCCATGAGATTTAGGCCTCATTTTCCCTTTCCATTGTGATCAAATGTGCTTCAAGCTCAAAGTCTATCTATAGCTTCATTTTTCATTCTACTTTTTTTTTCTCCAATACCCTCATGTACCCCCTTTTTTACAGCTGGCCTATTCTCTCTCCTTCACCTCTTTCTACTCTCTATCAAGGTTGAACTTTATAGATGCCAGCAGTGTAAGAGAAGGTGAGAGTGAGTTCTAAAGACTGTCTCATTGTGTCTGGGCTTTATTGTCTAGCCAGAGGGATGCAGAGTAACGACCTGCCACCAACACATAGGGAGAGCCATTCATTTCACCCAGGGCTGCATTTCACGAGGCTACAGTGCAAGTATACATCTGCGTGTCGGTGGGTATTGCACTGCAAATACATATCTATTTCCATGTGTATTAATGTGTCTGTATATGTTTAGGTCTTCAGTGAAGTAGACACTGGTTGTCTACAATCTGTACACTCTGTGACAGCTGTTTTCTGTGTACACATTCACCAGCTTTCATTACTCTTCTCCTCTGCCAGCTCAGTAGACAAACAGTGGCTCTGTATTCTGTGCATGTTTTATCACCATCCAAAATGTTAGAGAAACAGCTTAAGCAACCTTCCTCCTTCCGCAGCTTCTTTTATGTGAAATGTTAAAAGTAGGGCAAAAGTACATGCCAATCTCCCCCAGAGGATACCTCTTCATTTAAGTAGCAGGGTGTTCTTCTGCGGTTTAACGGCTGCAGGTTCACGGCTGTGCTGGGAATCATTCTTTTACGACTACATGGCTTAATAATAACACTCAGCACACTGATTCTATGGCAGATGTAAGACAGACACTGTGCAAAATACACTCACATGCCACATGCAAACACACCGTCCCTGGGCTGTTACAGCATTTTGATTTCATCACTAATTAATGGGGTGTTTTGCTTGAGAGTAGCAATAAAGGAAAATGCACACCCAGATGTGCTTTGCCACATAGTGACTTTTAGATATATTACTCCAAAGGGAGTGATTGTCATTGATTAGGGTAGGGAATATAAAGGAAACAAGGTGCTTTGTGAGTTGATCAAAGGAGCGCATCAGTGTAATACATCAATATTACTGTTACTGATTACGAGTCTAGACAACAGAACAAAGAGTATGCAGAGTATAAACAGCATGGCATGAATATTGGAGAGTGTCTAAGAAAACTATACACACGTGAATGGCAACACAAACTCCAAAATTGAAGTCTAGCCTTTCTTAGAAACAAAAGAACTTCAATATTTAGCAGCATATTAAAAGTAATGTGCCTCTCTGTCACACAATGTTGACAAACTCCAAGGGACTGAACATGTTTACCTCTCTTAAACTAATGCTGTGTTAAAAACGCTGCTTCTATGGAACTGACTCACCACTGGTCGGGTGAGATAAAAGCAGCTGTCAGTCATGATGTCCTCCAGCAGTTCTTGATCTGTGCAGAAACAAAGTAAAACAAGGTTAGTTAGAAGGATGGAAATGTAATAAGGGGGATTTCCAATTACTAATTATGTGTGTGAGCTATGTTGATGCATATTAGTGCATCTTTTATATCAACGTCTAATTATCCCTTGAAACCAATCCCGACTCCTTCATTTGGAGCAGGAGATAAAGGCACAAGAAATTACTCCTATCCATTAACTGGTAAAATATATGCTACGAAGGACAAACCCATATCTAATGATGAAAACATGTCAAGGAAAAAAAAGAGTGAAAGGAGCAAGAGAGGCTCCTTGAGGCACCCCCGAATGATGGTGATTTAATTTAAAAAGATAATTAAATTAGATCGAGGGTTTAATTTCCCGTGATTAAATGCTTATTTGGTGCTTAATTAGACCTAATCTGATTCTTCATTTGCCTCTTTTCTTTTCATTTATTGTGTCTGTGGTGAGTGGGCGTGCAAAGTCGAAGGACTGATGACATTAATGGCATCTGAAGTAACACGCACGATACATCTAAACATGATCAGTGAAACTAAATATTACAGGCATGCATGTTTTTCATGTCAGAGTAGAATGCATTATTATTGCTCTTATTATCTTTTTTATTTTATTCAACATCGTTACATTAAAAAAAATATGCAGTGGTGTCTTGATGAACAGATGTGATGTTCTTATTTTACACTTTTATATTGTACAGATATATGACTCATAAAAATTACATTGGATTAAATATCTGTTGGGTTTTTGCATGTATTTCGTTTCCTTCCAGGGTAACCAATTTAATGTGGCTTGACTGTCTTTATTAAATCAGAACACCAGTCTGAAAAATGTAACTATAAAGTGTTAAAAGGTGAGAGCTTTTTTTCACCTTCACACCCCGGCTCTCTTATCATAAAAGCAGCAACTGTCTAGCTAACCAACAGGATACATTCTTTTGAAATATATATACAAACTCACAGACTTATCGTTCCCATCTGTGAACAGTGGGCTCTCCTTTTCAATATGCAGGAGGTGGCAAGACAGTAACATTATCCAGTCTATCATGCTCGGATTAAAGAACAGCTGCTTCCAAAGTTACTCTGCAGGTAGAGTGTTTGCTCACTACACACTCTAAATGGGAAAAAGGATCATTTTTCTAATGTGGATGCGTGTCTAATGAGATTGGAAACCACCTCTATGTTACTGCAGAGGAGTAAGTAAAAGGTGGAGATGAGAAGCAAGTGCGAAACCACAGTTTGGAAATGAATATGTATGTGCAGTGTGTCTATCACCAGTGTGGTTGCTCTCTTGGTTAATTCCTATTCTTAACAGACACACCTCTGAGGCTGTGAATAAGAGGTAATCCCAGAGCCCATCCACAGAGACACCATGGAAACCACAGACACTGCTGTTAACTTATCACAACATCACAAATCATGCCCAGCCGCTCTGGGTCTCAGCCAAATGCACACTGGGCACCCCTATAGCGTGTAGGGCAAGAAAAACACACAAGTCTGCATGCAAGTACATCCACATGCTCTCACACACACACACACACACACACACACACACACACACTGCTGCGTACACAAATAAATGTTTTCATATGATAGAGCTTATCTTTAATTGCGGAAACACTGGCATACAACATCAGCAGTGGTCTAATTTATAGCTGATGTAGATCAATAAGGTTTACAATTGTGGCCATTACTGCAGAAGGTCTTAAAGATAAGCCCTGAAGAGATAACCACACAGTGCACACTGCAAAACAGACCCCAGAGGAGGCCGTGACGCTTGGGTTTGTAGAGGTCATAGTCTTCCACATGCTATAAATCACACAGAATGAAACACAGAGAAATTTCAGCTATAAATCACTTACAGTCTTTACACAGCAATGCTGGGTTTTACCTGAGGGATGATGCAGAGTTTGTTAAATCTGACATTGACATGCAACAGTCGCTTGAAGTGACGAACAAAAAAATGTGTCCTCCATCAGCATTGGGCACTATTCATTGAGGTTCTGAGGTTGTGCGCTTTGTGGCTTCCATTTAAGTATTACACAATGAGCAGTGACTGATGGTGGCTCTTGTCAAACAAATCCTTGGTGCAAGGACCAGATCTGAATGCAGTCACCTTCTCTCTTCAGCCAGGTCTTCGCCTCACAATGTTCTGCCTCAGTGCCCCTAAATGCACATTAATCTAACAGTGGACCAGCCAAAAAAAGGTGCTTGCCATAAGTTATACATTCACCTTTGGATTAAATGTCCAATCTATCTTAAATATTGTGCACCTGCACAATTTAATATTTGCTGAGGCATACTGGTGGTAGTTGCTCTGATTGTGGTCAAGGACAAAAAAAAAAAAGACAGTCTTTCATGCTATAAGTCCAGCCTAACACAAAACGCTCCAAAGAACCTTTCATGTTGCACATGGAGAACAGCAGCCTCAGTCATTTGACAGCCTGGCAGTCCAGCTGGACAGTATGGACAATGAGGCAGAAATACTCAGAGTAGCCAGTATAAAGAAATAAGAACGCAGGAAAAAGAGGAGGGGGAAAAAAGGGGGGTGGGGGGGCTTAATGGCTGGCAACAAGGTCAACTAAATTTCTACCAGTAAAGATCCACACAAAAATGACTTTGCATAACATAACATCAGCATATACCTCCAGCAATGTGAACACCAATCAACAAGATAAGTAACCTTGACAACATAATCTGCCTCTAGGTCTAGCAGATAGTCACTCAGATATGAAAAGTGCTTTTTAGAGAAAAAAGAAAAGAGTCACAGAAATAGAAAAGCCCAGAACATAAAAAGGAAAAGAATGAAGTGTAGGAGGAGGTGAGGCAGAGAAAGGAAATCTGCTTATATTAGTCATTTGAGTGACTTTAGCTTTAAGTTTATAAAATGTTAAATCTACAGGATAAAATCCTCCCCAGCACCACCTCCATAGTTTAATACTGACTGAGAATCACTGCAACAGAAAGGTCTCTGTCCCCAGCTACCAATATACTGAGCAACTTTTTTTTTGTTGTTTTGGGCTCATGAGAGTTATAATCACAAGATCAATACTAGTGCTCATTGGCATTTCACTCTGCGTGTTTTTCGCTGGTGAAGCATTTCTTCTTTAGGTTAACAACTGACCTCAGCTCAATTTTGGATCAGTCATCGCAAGGCAGTGCACGAATGACGTGTCTGTGTGTGTGTGTCACTGCCAGCATGTCACTAGCAAATCAATTTCTGCACCAGAAGCCGGCCTGCTCGTAGGAGGAAGAAGAGGAAAGATTGGCTTCCAGGCTTTGTCATTTCATCTACACCCAATTTCACCACACAGCAAATGCGAGAAAAATGCCAGCATGTGACCAAAATCCATATGTGATCAAGGAAGGTCACCAATCACATCTCTGTAACACTAATGGATAAATAAATAAAATTACACAGGATAACTTTCATGTCACAAAACAGGTCCTATTTCTTGAAATTGTGAATCAAATCAAAAGTGGTAAAATTAAAGAAACCAGTGGATTAATCTCCTTTTTGTCCTAGAAATTGCCCAGTTGTGGCTTCTCAACTCCTCCTTTCTCCAAGTTATCTGCACTGTCTAGTTGAAGTTGCTGAAATGAATTCCAGAAATGTACAGCATAGGGGATAGAAACCACAAAAAAGAAATACACTAACATAGTACTGATAAGACAGGGGAATATTTGTCTGTGAAATAAGCCCTGAACAAAAAAGGGATTCATTTTAAAAGGAAATTAAGTATTGTAATAGTTCTCAGTTCAAGTAGGCAATTTTTCTTAAACACAGCTCAAGTTCGTGCTCTTGTCCACATTAACTTGTTTTAATGTTTGTACCAGAAAAGCTCATTTCTCAGTGGGGACATACAGGCAGCCACTCAGAGAAAGGAAAAGGGATGAAGGATTGTTCTGGCATTAAAATCTCCTCTCTCATTGTGCTTATCAATCTGCTCAATTTCACCTGGTAATGTAAGCACTCCGACCTACAGCTGTAAAACTAATATAAGTTGCTCCAACGAGGCGCTGGAGCTTGTGGATGATGGATATTTTTCAAGTGATCTGCATTAACTGTGGGACATGTAGGTCTGAAGCTTATCCAGGTTCAGCGGGCGGATGGTGTGATGGAGCAAAATCATTCATGGCTACGAGGGTGTTCCTGCTACCTGACCTCTCCATCCACTGAGAACACGTTAAATCGATTCCAGCCGGCTTCCTGCACTGGCAGTTGGCTCGCCTCCCCTGCATTATCACCATGGTGATTACACACCCCTGTGATTTCGGTCACCCAGACCCCACCCTAATCCCAGAAAACAGATTATGGCCCAAATTGATTTGTAGCATCACACAGAATTCCCACTGGTCATTCAAGCATTTTTTTTTTCCCTCTTCTAGTTGCCCTTCATCAATCTATCTATATCCAATTCTATCTGTCAATTAACTCCTCCAGAGCTATTCATTCTAATTTCAAATGGTTTGGTTTGCCGAGAATCAAATAGGCTTTACTTGCAATTTAAAGGACCTGAAATGAATCAAAATAGAAGTTGCTGAACACCTTCTCCTGATGACCTCACTCCAAACTTGCCCAAAACACAAAATATAAAAGCAAGGGTTAGCAATCAGGTTATTCTGTAGGCGGCTGTTTTTATCACTGTCGAGCCAGGGGCCAACATAGTTGTACAGCCACTGTGGAGATGCAGTCCTATGTGTTGTATTTTTTATTACTTTTACCAAGAAACAGATTTTTTTTAAAAAATCTAGTTGTTTTAATATTGTATCCAAGGGCAGATTTCATTGTATCCCCAGTGCCAGAGTTACAGAAGCTTGTACTCTTTCTGCCAAAAATTAAATATATAGAACAATTTATGCTTTGCGTTGCAATGTAAGACTTGAAATGTAGTTATTGGATTATTTACTCACAACTGTGGCCTGTTTCATTTATGGTTAAATGAATTTGAAAATAAAAAAACAAAAAAACATTAATTTCATTATAACCAAATGTTACAAAATCCTGTTTATTCAGACCCACCCGAGCTTTGTATTTGCATTTTTACCTTTGTACCTTTTGATTGTGAAAAATCAATGCAAGGCAAAAACAAAATATAAAATGTTTTGAAAAAAGCTCTACGAGGGGGCCAAACAGTTGAGAGCCAGACTTGACCCCACAAGATGCTGCTTGTCTCCAAGTGTGTATAAGGCTGTCGATATGCACTGTACATATCAAGGTTGTCAGAGAAACTGAAGCAAGAAGAAAGGACGGAAAGTAATAATGAATGAATGTTCAACAGATCAGAGTAACATCAGGCTCCCAGTTTCTCGTAAACTTACACGTCAGTGTTCTGAAGGCCAGCTCATACGCTGCTCGTTGCATCTTTGCATTTTTGACCTTAGGTAGTTCGAGCCCTCTCTTTTCGCCATAATTCACCAACCGGTGTGCAGCAGGCTTCTCCTGGTGGCTATTTTGGAAGATGACTGAAGCCAGCAGGTAGACTGTGTCTGGGAAACCCAGACAATATTGGCCGGTGATCTGGGGCTCTGGAGGACAGGCAGGGTTGCCGCTGTCAGCTGGGTCATCTGGTGGAGTAAGGTCTGTGCTGCTTGTGATCTGGGAGCCAGACTTTTTGGTCTCGCATGTGGAAGGTCGAATGAGACGGCCATGAATTCTTTTTTTTTTTGGCATCCTCTCAGAGATGTGCTTTCTCTCTGACACCTGAAAACATGCAATAAAACCCTTAAGATGCAAACAATCCAGCATTCTACATTTGAGAGTCTTGAGTTAAACTTGGGGTAATAAGGACTGAAACCATGTAAATCACATTTATAGGATTATTGGGTTAAACAACTGCAAATATTATTGCAAAATGTGTGCAGCATATAGGTATGGGTCATTCCATCTCAAATTATCAGAGTTTTAGAAAAATGTATGCGTGACCACCTCTGATTTGCCTGAAAATTTCATAGCATAACATATTATGATATATAAGTATCTTTTTGAAATGTTGTCTTGATACATCAAAAATTTAACTAGATATGCTTGTTTTTGGGCTGCAAGGTGACTTAGTGGTTAGAACTGTTGCCTCGCAGCAAGAAGGTCACCGGTTCGCGTCCCGGTGAGGACACCCAGGGTCTTTTTGCGTGGAGTTTGCATGTTCTCTCCATGCAGCGTGGGTTCTCTTTGGGCTCTCTGGCTTCCTCCAATAGTCCAAAAACATCCATTATCTATACACTGCTTAATCCTCATTAGGGTTGTGGGGGGGCTGGAGTCTATCCCAGCTGACTGAGGGTGAAGGCAGGGGACACCCTGGACAGGTCTCCAGTCTATCACAGGGCTACACTTAGAGACAGACAACCAAGCACACTCACATTCACACCTACGGATAATTTAGAATCACCGATTAACCTCAACATGTTTTTGGACTGTGTGGGAGGAAGCTGGAGAACCTGGAGAGAACCCACACTGCACGGGGAGAACATGGAGACTCCATGCAGAAACATCCCGGTGCCCCCACCGGGACACAACCTTCTTGCTGCAAGGCAACAGTGCTAACCACTGTTCCACCTTGCAGCCCAGTCCAAAAACATACTGGGATTTTTATAGCAGAAAACTTTCTTGCCCTGACTTATATTTAATAGTAATCTCATGCACTGACATGAGCAAGACTTCAGTGGTTAATTTATTCTCATGGTCATTCTCTTGTTTTGTGTTTCTTGGGGATAAGCTTGGCCTTCAATACTAACGTCACAAATGAAACTATGTGCAGAAAGTTAAAGTGTGAATAAACACATATTTATAGTAACTGCTTAAAAGTTTACTTTCAAGCTCCTCTGCAAATAAGCTTGTAAATAAGCACAATATGTAGACAACATATAGATATAATAGGTAACAGTTCATTGGATTTCTGCAGCCTAAAAAGTGGGGTCCACAAATGAAAAATAATCCCAGATAAAAAAATACTTTCTTAGTGGTATTTGAAGAACTCTGTTCTACTTGGATTTGGCTATCTAGCTTATTTTGTGTTTTGTTTCAAAGCATTGCGACACTCAGCTACAGACGGTTCAGAAAACATCACCAGCTGCCTTCTGCATTATCAATACTTTTGAGGTGATGTGTGCTCAGAGATGGCACTTTTAATGACTGCTTCAATTGTTTTCAGACTTTGACGAACCCATAACAAGATAAGATAAGATTAATCCAGAGGGTAATTTTGCTAGATATTGCTCAGAAGCAAAAAATTACATAACATTAGGAAATGCATTGCCAAGCAGAAAAGCAATAAAATACGATCAGATATTATTTTTTATCTACTTGCCCAATATGGAAGACACTGAATCACTGACATGAAGAGAAACAGCAGTAAAAAGTTCCATTTTTCTTATCTTAAATAGCCCCTGTGATGCTGATGTACATGGTGTCACATTTCAATGTGTGTATAATATACCTGCTGAAAGTGGATGTAAGATTTTTTTAACATTTATCTCAGAAAGTGCCTCATATATTGATGTAACATTTCACAGATAACATTTTAAAAATTCATGCTTGAAGATAAAAAAACGTTTTAAGCAAATCCTTGATCCTCTAACTGATTATTTGAGATGGACTGACCCTAAAACTAAAAACTAATGTTAACCAGCAGAGTGTGAAGTAAATCCAACTTCATTCAACCTTTGATTTTGTTTGTCTTCTATTGGTTATAGATTGTACTTTGTTTACTTTACGGTTAGTATGATCGGTAGAAAACAATAATAACTTCTGGGAAAATGTTGACAACTGAAGCTACATCGTGTGTTTTGAAACAAGCTAGCTAGCTAGCTAACGTTAGCATGACACTGATTTATGAAGCAGACGTTACTTTCGGTAGCAGCTCAAGTGGGAAATGTTTCGATGGGATTCACGTTACCTTAGAAGATCTATTTGGTTTCCCAGCGCAGGCGGCAGGTTAACGGCGCCAGTGTCTGTTGTCCTTCGCTAAATTTTTAAGTGCCAGTAAAGTTTCCCCTCTTATAAGCCTCTCCGCGAATGTTTACAGGAAGACTTATATATATTTTTAAAAATAAATCAATAAACTTTCTAAATGTCCGTTAATACTGCAGCGCGTTCAGTATTACGCCATCACCATGGTAACCGCATGCTAATTTCAAGGTCCTGCTCTTCACGGATCAAGAAGTAATCTGTTTAATGCTGGACGTCCTCTGCAGCACTGCGGGCTTGTTAAAGTTTTACAGAGCATTATATCAGAGAGCGAACCACAACACTGATTGACAGTCATACATAAACTTGCAGATGGCATCCAGCTGCTGTTTTAAAGCTCAGGTCGAGGTAGAAGAAAAAAAAAACAGGTGCAGATCCTCCACTTTCCTCTGTATCCTGTATTCTTCCCTTCCGATTGTTTGGCATTTTGCAAATCTAAAAACTCCTGATGTTCTTGTTCAAGTGGAGGAAATCAAATGAAGTGGTTTGGTTTGTTGATGTAATATTTTTACAGTCGAAATTGGCTTCTGTGCTTTTTTTCTCTACTGTTTATATGTGAACCATATTGAGCCATTAGCTTTTTTATTAATGTGATAAAATGTAAGAGTTTGAAGGTATGATGTCCCCACTGATGGATTCCTCCTTACTGTAGGCTAGACATTCCTGGTGATTAGTGATTTGACATTGTACATGAGGATTGCAAATATTCATGATAATAAACTCATTGTTCCAACTTTTGCAACTTTCCCATCACTTGGTAATTATTTGGAACTATTC